TGAGCCTTCTGGTACCCTGCAGAGCAGCTCTAGTCAGCACCTGGTATGTAGAGGTGGTTTGTCAGCATTTCTTGGAAGATGTCATGTCTCAAACTTGCCTTCCTCCTCATGCTAAACTCTGCCCCACTTCCCTCTTTTCCCAGGTTTATGGCTGGAAGTGGATTTCTTTGCAGGGGAAGGACAATTCCAGCAGAGCTGGGCTGAGCAGATGTTTCATGGGGTAGTGGGAGTGAACACACCCACTCTGGGTAAAGACAGGACAGGGCTGCAGGGTGTAAACAGAGCACTTTCACAGCAGGCTTCTGTGTTCCATCAAAAGTTCCTGGAAAGGTGAAGGCAGGAGTTGGCTTTCACCACCTCTCACTGAAAGAATAAAAACATTAACATTGTGCAGGTCTAGCCTCCTGTGTTCCTCAACTGTGTCTGTGTTTAGCCCAAGGCTACTCAGGTGATATCCTGGTCGTGTGTGACAGGAACTGTTGGTGCTCCCAGGATCACCAGATCCTGCTGGAACCTTCCTGGGATTAGGTGGAGGTCCTGCCATAGCTGGGCTGGGTGGGAGGCAAGGAATGTAAGGCCCATGGAACAGAGCCCTGGGGAAGGACAGGAGGTTTTGTGGGCTGCTGCTGCAGGAGAGACCTGGCAGAAGAAGCTCTTGGGTGCTGTTTGATGATGTTCCTTATTCTTGCTTGGATGTGTGTTCCCATATCACCGTTGGTAACTGAGGAAGTTGTCTGGTGCAGATCTCCTGACATCTCCACAGTGGGATTTTGTCACTTTTCCTCTGCAGAAGCCTTGTGCTGGGTACAGAGGAGGGATCTCCTCAGGTGTTCAAGACCATCAGTATGGCTTGAGCTGCTTGTTGCCTTCACCTCAGTGTTAACATAATTACAGGTGTTCACTCATTTATTTCTTCCAGTGCCACCTGCCTTGGGGTCAGCAAAAGGCAACTTCCCCATCCCAATGTGATCAACTCACCAGTTCATCACCTATAAATTCCGAATTCCTGCTTTGCTCCTCAGCATAGTGGGTTATTTTTAAGCACTGGGAGAAAAAATTTGAAACCCTTTCAAGTAATTATTTAATGTTTTTTGAGTTCACCTCTTATCTCTGGGAATGTCTTTGGAATTCTTCTGGGATTCACATTCTCATATAGATGCCTTAAAACCAATTAATTTGGCCTGCGTTGGGATAAACAAGCTTTTGTGTCTAAATTTGTATGTGGAATTTAGTATGTGCTAATGGGTCTTCATCTTTTAATTGGCTGGATCTTTTCCAAGGCCAAGCAGAATCTGTTGGAGAAACAACCACGATGCCAGCTCTGGCCTGAGCTGGGTCCTGCTCCTTTCTGCTCCCTCGCTGTTTAGGAACCTGCTTGTGCTGAGGAAAGCTATCCTGTGCACAATCAAAACAGGGTCTGTTGATGTTATTCCTGGTCCTTTGAGAAGATGACTTAGTGGTCACATGTGCTGCTATGAGGTCATTAGGAAGTCTCTCAAATACCCAATCTGAGAAGCAATGATGCTATTGCAGAAGTATGCTCCCTCTGCGATGTGAGATGCAAAACTCTCCCAAGTACTTGAGTTTGCAATAGCTCTGAGTGGGATCTGTTATTGTGCATATTTGGGTTCATTCCAGTAAAAAAAAAAAAAAAAAAAAAGCTGTTTTCTGCTTTGCTTTATCCCTCAATTGATTAGTGGATGTGTACTGTGGGATCAAGTTACATCTCAGTGGGCATCCAGCAGAGAGCCTTTTTCTGTGCTGAACTGCTCAAGTGAGTCTGACTGCAAGGTCAGCAGTTTTCCAGCAGTGTTTTGTGCCTCCACAGCAATGTCCTTCCCCAGGGAAAGGAGCTCCTCAGATCTGTTTGAGAGTTGAGCCATTGCTCTTCCCAGCACCACAGGGAAATCGAGAGCTTTTTCTAAACCCTTGATGTTGTTTGTGTGATATGCATCTGCTTTGATGCTTTTATTGATGCCACTCCTGAACTCCCTGTTCCTAGATGTCCAGTGTTTCCTGCTGCCACAATCTGCCCTGTGTCTTGCAAAGGGAATTGTTTGGTCCCAGTTTACCCCAGGGGCCTGTATCCAGCTTGGTTCCCATGTACCATTGTATCCTCAGGGCAGGCATCCTTGTTTTGGGAGGAGAGTGCCTTGCAAGAGCATTATCAGAATGAGTAACACCCTTTTGGAGCAGGCAAAAAGGGATCTGATGTCTTCCCACATCCACCCTACTGCTGGTCATGTCCCAGCTATCTTCGAGCCTTAGGGACTATCCCATCCCTCTGTGCTGAATAACTCACTGATGCATGGAAATATTACCATGGGGGGAAAAAGAAAATAGTTTTCTGTTCTCAGAACAGAGGTAGATTGTGTGGCTGGAATGGGGTAGGGAGGCAGGGAAGAAAATAAAAGCAAGGTGGCATCTGACTGCATCTTCCAGCTGGGACTTAGTATGGGCACAGTGTGTTTCATGTCTGCTTTCTTTATTCCTTTGGGATACCCAAAATACCTGCTGCTCTGTGGAGGCTTTGCTGGGATTCCTGCTGGAAGCTGATGTAGTCTGTGGGGTTCTGCAGGATGGGCTGATGGCTGCTGTCCCCTCTCTTCACCCTCCTGCTCTGGAGTCCCTGTGAGTCTTATACAACACTGGCATCACTTCCCACCTTGGCTCTGCTGTCCCAGCCCTGCTCTGCTGGCTCTGGGAGGAGTCCTACCCCTTCCAGGTGTGTGAGAGAGACATTGCAGCCCTTCCCTTGCTGAGCAGCTCCCTCGCAGGAGGCAGGCTGGCACCTGCATTTCCCAGCAGGCAGGATCAGCACATTCCTTCTGCTCTCCCTGTGCTGCCCTGGTTCCTGCTGGGCTTGTACCCCAGTGCCCTCAGAGGTTCCTCTCAAGCCCCAGTGCCCTTCTCACCCTCGTGAATGTGGTCCCATCCTGCTGTGCCCTCCAAAGCTCTCCAGTGGCCGGGCAGCAGAGCCCATGTGGGGAGGGATGGCTGGGGGTGGAAGGGCTTTGCAGGGCTGTGCAGCCCAAGAGCAGTTTTGTAGCCCCTGTGCTGGGTTTGGGTGGTCTCACAGAGACCTGCTGGCCCTGTGCCCAGCTCAGTGTGTCCTGCTGCAATCCTGCTTGTCCTGTCACCACAGAGCCACCTGCTCATGACATTCCCACTCTCACCCTTGGTAATTATCTCCCCTGAAATGCCACAGCCTGGTTTGAGTTCTTTATTTTCCCTCGCTCTCTGCATTTTTAGAGAAAAGATACTGAATGTGCTGTTCTCAGACAGCTGCATTGGTCACCTCCACTCCTGTGGGGCTCTGACCTGAGGACAGCAATGGGCTGAGCTGTTGTGATGAACACACAGAGAGCCCTGGTGCCACAGCTGGGCTCTCCCTCTGCCAGGAAAGACAATGGAAGCACAAGTCCAAATCTCTGAGAAGGGCCTGGCGTTATAATAATCCTGTTGTCTGGGCTTGCTAATAAACGACAGGTTCTGTCTCTTTTTACCTTTCCTGGAGGATGGCCCAGGCTGGGGGAGGATGAGGGTGAGCGGTGGCGATGTTCCTGCCGGGATCCCGCTGCCGAGCAAGGGCAGCTGCACTCAAGCAGAAGGTGCAGGCTGGCTCTGCAGCCTGGCCTGCCCCTGGGACTACACGGGCCCTGCTTCCTGAGCAGGAGAGCTGCTTTATGTTGTGGTTTTACTAAATGAATTCAAAGCTTGGCCTTCCTCCAGGCAAAGTCTGGGCCAGGTGCCAGCGGAGCAGCCCCCAGGGAGAGCACTGGAGCAAGGAGGGGCCAACAGCAGGGAAGAGCAGAGGAATCCAAGAAGGCAGATTTGCCTAGAAAACAGCTCTGTTTCCATCTGCTGGGTCAGGAGTTGCTATAGGAACTGGGATGATAGAGGCAGGGCCATCTCCTGGGCCTGTCTGTGTGTGCAGAGGGAGGGAGGAGGGAGGAGTTACTCAAGTTTGAACATATCATGTGTGTGCTGGTGGAAAGTTGCAAGGAATGTCGAAACTGCAGCCTGGCTCAACCTGTGGAGTTGCAAAGAGCCATAGCAGTTGTTCCCTGTGCTCAGCAGGCCCTGGCAGAGGCAGGTAGGCTCCTTCCAGCTTAACCTGGCTCTCAGCTTGGTGTCAGCTCTCTCCCTTCTCTCCCCTCCTGTCTCTGTCCTTGGATAAAGCCTTTGGAGGCTTGCTGGGAGTGGTGGAGGGGGTTTGTGAAGGCTTTTCTGCCTGGTGGGGAGAGGGTGGCTCTTTGCGCCCGTTTTCCCTCCCACAGCGCTGGGAGGGTTCCCAGATCGTGGGTATTCCCTCGGGGATGTGTGCCTGGGCACCTCTGGCACTGGCAGGGTGTTCTGTGGGCACACACGTGCTCCGGCTGCGTTCCGGGGCTCTCGGGGAGCGTGGGCAGCCCTGGAACTCCGAGAGGTGCCAGGGCTGAGGCCGGGACAGCTGTGGAAAATGAGCTGGCAGCGAGTTCTTGTGGGCAGTGGGAAAATGAGGGAATGTGCTCCTGCCCCCCACGGGAGCATTCCCATGTTCTCACCTCTGCTCCCGAGGACAGGCAGACCCTGGCCCCTCCTGAAGCACCTACTGCAAGTTTGGTCACTGTTAAACTTTCTCAGGCTCCCGTTTACCCTGAAACATGGGAGTATGAAAATGCAGGAAGGTGTTCCTGAGAATCCTCATTGTTGGGGTTAATCATGGGGCTCTCCGGTAGGAGCCTCTCCAGATAAAATCTTATTTATTTCCTCAATAAACCCATTTTTTCAGGTGCTGAGAACTTTCCAAAATAGTTGTGTTTCCACCAAGAGTGTTCAGGGTTGCTCACTGCTCCACAGGTATTTCTTTAATAGGTTTGGCTGAAATTTCATCTGCTCTTTTTGTGTCACAGAGGATAATCTCTTAAAAAAAAAAAAAAAGGTGGATAGTGTTGTTTCTCTTTTTGAGAAGCTGCACAATAAGCTGCTGAAAACTGAAATGTGATCTCTATCCACAGAGACAGAACTTGCCAAACTGGCTGGGATCACAGCCCACCTACTCAGGCACCCATCTTATCACAGCCCAGGAAAGCCCCAGAGCCTGAGTGCAGCCAGCTGTGGAGTAACCTGCCCGTGCAGGAGATAACCCTCTGCTCACATTACTTACTGCTTTGCTTATGCCTGGCTAGAGGAAAATTTGTCTTCAGTGTGCTTTCACTCTGTTAATGGAATTGCAGATGTTCTTATTATGGAGATCTACTTCCAATATTTTATTGAATTACTCCCACATTGCTCTGTGGCAATATGTCCCACAGGCTCAATGCACATGGTATGCTGTGGAATTTCATTTCCTCCATTTTAATTTGTTGTTTTTTAATTTCAGTTCATTTTCAATATGGAAAAGAGGTAAATGGGGTCCTTTTTTTTGGTTTAGGCATCATTGTTTTACATGTTTCTTTTTCCCTTCTCATCTCTGCTGTTTCTCTTGCCTTTGCCTCAAACCATACCATGATTTTCCTACTGCTACCTGCCTCATGCGTAATTGCTAAATCTTATTACGTCTCTGTGGGCTTCTGTTTTTTGTTGTCTCGAGCAAATTTAATCAGAATTGGTCATTCTGCCTTGCCCACGCTGTGAAATTCTGCTCGAGATTTTTTCTGTGTTCTTGGCTTTTCCTTTGTTTATAAGCAGAACATTTGCTTTGATTGCTTGAAATTGTGGTAAGCAAAGACCTTTTCTGAGCTGTCTCTAGTCATGGTAGATATTTTGCTGGCATGTTTAATTAATGGTACCATCATCTCTGTACATGGGAAGTTAAATTTTATCTTGCAGAGCTGTACCAGTAAATAGGAATCCCAGTGCAACATGGTTGGAGCTGCCTGGAAATCCTCCCTAGAGTCTCCAGGCTTGGTGCTGTGTTTCAGGTGATGTGTGAGTGTTGCCACTCACTGCTCCCATCTCTGCCAGGCACTTCATAAATTAAACTTTAAAACCACTTTGGGTCGTAAACAAAGTTTGCTGAAGCCAAATGCAACAGCTGTGTGTACCCAGACAGGGCTGCCTTGGCTGGAGGTTGTGCTCAACCTCTGGAGAAATGGTACCCACTGAGGTCACAGCCAGAATTGTCCCCTCTGGCTCCTGGGGTGCTGTGGGAGGGCTGGAACACTTCCCACTCACTGCATTTTGGCATTTGGAGTTACTGCAGTCCGTGGAATGCAGTGAAGGATGATAAGTTATGCTTCTTTCTGATACTGGAAAAGCTTCTGGTACCTTCCTGTGGCTTTAGGGCATGGCTCTTCATTTTTATTAACATTTTTTTGGAGCCACTGGAGCAGAGCCCATAGTGCTCCTCAAGTGAAGGGCAGGGGCTGTTTGCCAGCTACAGGTGCTCTGAGTTTTGTTTTTACAAGTATGAAGAGAAATTGCAAAACTCATAAAATATAGCTTTTGATAATCAGCATTTATGGTGGTTTGAGGGAGACTAGATGGGCAGCTCAATTAATAGATGTTCCAAAATCCTGTTTTTGGTTTGATTTTCACTGAACTGTCTCAGAATTTGACTTTCACCCTTGCAAAAATCAGCAGTTCTCAGCTACTAAGTGCAGCTCTATGCAAGGGTTTGCTTCTCTTCTGCTTTTTCAAAGAGCTTCCCCCAGTAATTATGTTTTAGTTTTTAAATAGGCTCAACTATGAGCAATTTGCAAAACAAAAGGTTGTAGATAAGGACCTGTTACTGTAAAGTCGGTATTTTTGAAGGTAGGCAGTTGATAAGGAAAGTTAAAGATGACTGAAAAAGCACAGCAAATATATCATGGGGCAGTGAGAAATATTTTAATATCTATAAAACAAAATAAATTTCATCAGCGGTGCTTATATCGTTAGGAAAGGTTAAACCCAACTGATTGCTGATAACAGTGCAGAGAAGTAAAACATTTCTTTCCTATTTTTGTGGAGAACCTGGATGATATTCTCTTGGAATACCTCCCATTGCACTGGTAAGCAGGGAGGGTGTTAAACCCAAGATAACATTTCAGAGTATTTTGAAACTTGAGCAACACTGGAACCTGTTTGTTTAAAACAAATTGGTAAAGCAGTTTTCTGAATTTTGGCTGCCAATTTGTAATAAATCTGGGAAGACCAAAGGAGTTCCAGAAGTTTGGGAAAGCATAAATGTTGTAGCAGTGTTTTAAGATGGAGAAGGGAGCAGGTAACCAGCAGGCAGTGGAGACCAACCTCTGTCACGTTAAAGAAGGAGCATGCTCAGCAATTGTTGTGCTCTGATGGAAAGCAGATCATGTCCAAAAAAAAAAAAAAACCAAACCCAAAAACCACATCAAATTGTGAGTTTAATGAGATTCTTGCACTGGTTGCCAAGAGCAGCTGCATTGGCATCATATACCTGGATCCTGAGGGATGCAATCCTGCTGTCAACCAAAGGCTGCCGCTCCCAGGAGGGAGAGAGAAGAGCCTTTGCTTTGGGAGCAGGACTGTGCTGGATCTGCTGGGCAGGGATTGATCCCTGCCATATCCTTCATGCTTTCCTGCTTGCCTCAGCACTGCTGGTGGGCTCTGAGCTGAGAAACACCTGCCTGGGCAGTTGTGGGGGCTCTGATCCTTATCCCCAGCCCTGCCCTTGCCCTGTGCCAGGGTGGCAGATCTCAGTCTCCCTGTTGCTGGTCAGCACCGTGTTCAACGAGCTGATTTAGAAAGTGCCACCTGATACCCCTCAAAAATAGTCAGCAGTGGGAATGTGATCCTTGCACTCTGTAAGCAGAGGGCTGAGGAGCTGGGCTCTGACATCAGTGTGGGACAAACTCAGCTATTCCCTAGTTTCCCTGTGAACAAGCCAGTGGGAGTCACGGCAAAATCTGACTAGAGCTGTCTCACTGCCTGGAGGGAGGCTCTGTCTCACTGAGGAGAAGCTTGGGAGAAAATATTAAGCAAATTAATACTGAATCTTGGTTCTCTGAGCAGGCTGAGTGAGTCAGCTGGGACAAAAGGAGGCTCTGGAATATCCAAGAACAGGTTATCAAGGAGGATTGACAGTGATTGTCAGATGAGATAACAGGAGCTGGGATAAAGAGAGATAAAGTTTTCCTTCTTCAGGCAGTTGAGCAGTGGGAGAGGTTGTCCAGAGAGGTGGGGGAAGCCTCCATCCTTGGGGGCTTTTAAGACACATTTGGACAAAGCCCTGTGCTGGCTGCTCTGAAATTGGTGCTAACCCTGCTTGGAGTAGGAGCTGGGATTAGATGCTCTCCTGGGAATCTCCTCCAGCCCAAATAATTCTGCGACTCAGCAACCTGATCTCCTTCTGAGTGCGAGTTAGAGCATGGTTAAGTAAAAGGTTATGGTGGAGCCCCCTGAGAACAGGGAGGGAGGAAGGTGGTTTAGATTGAGTGCTCTTAATACCCCATCTGTCATCTCTGTGGTTAACATGTCATGGGGATGGTTGCTATGTGAAACTTTGCAGTGGAAGATTGCAGGTCTTGAGAGATCTATTGCTGACTTTTAGTTGATGTATTTTAAGGATTGTTAAAGAAAAAGATAGAAAAGCTGTAGAGAGGTGCTAGTGTTTAGGAACAGTGAAAATGTCAGTGTGCTAAATGTTCTTTGGGCTTGTCAGGGTAGGAAGAAAGCTCTGGAAAAGGACAGTAAGGGACACTGCTGCTTGGGCAGGGAGAAGGGAGGTACTTGGAGCTGCTGGTTTGTGCACAATTTTGTTTTCCTGCCACTTCTGTCCTGCAAAGTTGGGAACTGGAGCCTCTGCAGTTGAGGGGATGTGTATTTTGGAGGGTGTGCTGGAGGCTCCCCTGCCCCTGCTGCTGGGTGGGGGCTCCTGGGGAATGGCTGTGTCCTGAGCTGGGCCCTGGCAGGTCTGGCTGGGTCATGGGAAGAGCTTCCAGGTTCCATGGTTGAGGTGAGCACAGAGTTCCTGTGCCCTGGATTGAGGGGGAGGCTTTGGTTTTTGTTTAGCTGAGCTAAAACCCACCTTGTGGTGCAGTGAATTTGCATTTCCTTATCTTTGGCTTTACCTTTCTAATGGTTTCTAATTTTGGCCTTGTTACTTGGATGGATTAAATTACATTTAATGCATGTTCATTTATCCTCAAGTCTGGTTTTGTGAAAGAAGCGCTCTGGGCAGTTTCACAAACTGAGAACAGCCCACTCCTGTAGGACTGGCTGACAGGCAGTGGGAAGAAGCTGGAGGATTTACTGGTCTTGTGCAGGAACACCAGCATCTCTCTGGGCTGTAGGTGAGGCACTGCCTCATGTTTGAGTCCTGTGTTACATGCTGTGGTGTGGGTGACTGCAATGCTGTTTTTCTCCTGAAATCTAGCAGGAGTGAGGTGTCACTTTCTTCATAACCCCATTAAGATGTTTGGCTAGAACATGGAAAACAAGGCTCAAACCCTTCTCAGCCTCAGGGCAGGCCTATCCCCCATCTCTCAAGAGGGTGACCACAAAGTACACCCAGACCTTGGTGTTCCCATTCTTCTGCCACTGCCTCAGACTCAGCTCTGTGGTGTCCCTGTCCCCACCCCAAGTGCCACTCCTAAATGCTGTCCTTTTTGTCCCACATTCGTGTCTCTTGTGACAGGTCTCCCAATGCCATCTCTAAGATGATGCTGGAGCCTATTCCTGTCTCAATTTCCCTGTTCCTCTCAGTTACTTCTCACATGTCTCTTTATTAACCCAACCCTTTCACCTAAAATCTGTTTGCTTTTATCTGTCCATCCTTGTTGCTTCTCTGGACATCACTTAGAGGTGTCACTGTTTCTGCCCAATGTCCCCAACCGTGTTCCCAACATTGCAATGGGTTTTTCCTCTTTCTGACCACCTCTGTTGATGCCTAGATCCCAAATCTCCTCTTGCAGCCTTGCACTTCATGCCAGGATCTTGCTGGCCCTGCCCAGCTCCCCAGTTACTCTGACACGATGAATTTTGGTGTCACTGTTGGCACTTGGTTTGTCCTGGTGTCATCCACATGTCACACAGAGACTTCTCCACTGCTGCCTGGTTGATTGAATCCAGGGAGAGAGACACCACACTCTGAGCTCACCTGGGGGGAGATTTGTTGCCTTATTTTCACAGGGCTCTGGCACAAGCAGCGTGCCTTGGGCCATCCTTCACCCTCCAGCAGTTCTGCTGGAGTGGGTGGCCATGTTCTCTGGCCAGCAGCCCTGCTCTGTTTATTCAGTCTTGTGCCAGTATTTGAATTGTAAACTAAGCAGAACATTTTAAAAAGTGATCAGAATTCTTTCTACTAAGCGTTTTCATCACCAAATTCTGTTTGGTCCAAACCAGAGCTGCATATTCTCTAGGGGAAAGCTGCTGGGCTGAGGTCTCTCAGATTAACTCTGAGGCAAAGAGAAATGCTCTACCATTGTTTTGGAGCCAGAAAAATGGAAATCACACTTCCCAGCCTCTTATTTCTTCAAGCATCAGATATTGCCCCAATTATTATTTTTGCTTCTTCCCCGTTGAATTCCTTTAGGAATGCTAGGAGATGCCATGCACTCCTCCTGATTGTTCCTGGACCTCTTCTGAGGATGCTTTGATTTAGGATAGCCCCTCCTGTTGTACACAGAGCTCTGTGTGATACACTCTGTGTCCTGTGGAGTTTCTTGGCGTGGCTCTGGGCATCTGGAATGGGATTCCTGCAGCAAACCCTCAGGTCCCACTCTGGGGTAATGATCTGCAAAGGAACCAGTTAAAACAAATGCCTGTTTCAGTTGGGATCTAGAGAGGCTTGCAAACATGCCAGACCTCTGTAATGGATCTCTGGAGGGAGAACAGGGCCTGGAGGAGCTCCAAGTCCCACCTTCCTCATGCACATCACTGAAGAACAGCTCCCTCCTGTGCTCACTGAGCCTTTGCTGTGCTCTGGGTCACAGCCAGCTGCTCCTCTGTGGAGGCATGGACTGGCTTTTCAGGCATGGTATCTGCTGCGTTTATTGGGGAAAAGTGCCCTCTTTTGCATTTCTTGTTGAGTTTTTCAACAAGTAGATTTTTTTTTCCACTCTCCCAATGATTGTAACAGGATTTTATTCTCCTGCAGCCAGCTGTTAGCAATTAGCAACTTGATCCAGTCAGGCCTGGGAACAGAGTTTAACACTTTCTTGCCTCTCAGAGGATATTGCTAATCCTGTTTTTACTGGTTTCAGGTTTGTGCTGTAGTTCTGGCACTTGGTGTGTATGTGTGGGCAGGGTGGGAAGATAGGCATGAGTACAGCAAAGGACTAATGCAGCTGAAAGAAAAGTATGGAGCCATTTACACAGAAAAAGTCCTTAGTAAGATGATTCCCAAGCAGTCTGTACAGAGGGTTGTATTTAGTAGTAATTCCAGCGTGTCCTAGCTCTGGGAAGTGTGTAACTTGGGAATCCAGTCTACTCCTGGATGAGATTGAGACTCTGCACCAATCAATATCAGTAGCTCTTCAAGCAGTGATTTCTGCAGCTGGAGCTCCTGAGTGGGGCTGAACCTCCTTCAGAATGTTTCACCCTCTGGAGGATTTAAACAATTCTTGCTGACCCTGCTTACAGCTGCAGCTGCTGTGGAGAGAGCTGAGAAATGGCATTAGTTTGCTCCCTCTGTACATCACCTCTCCCAGGACTCACTGACAGGCACTTCAGTGAGCCAGCACTGGGAACCAAATGTGGTGGGAAAAACAAACCCAGCAGAACCTGAACCAGCTGCTGAGGTGCCTGTGCAGGGCTGCACTGCTGGAAATAGTTCACCTGTGCCACATACAAAGGTGAGAATTCATGGTACCAAACTGGGGGAGACAGGACTAGTCCAGAGCAGCCTTTCCTTCTGTCAGCAGTGCAGACACATCCAGAGAGGATTCATCCAGCTTGTCTTGGATACTCTTTAGGCAAGGGCCCAATTCAAAGCCAGCTTTTGTGGGCATAGAGCTGCTGGCAGGTGAGCTCTAGGTCAGCTCTGGAGCTTTCCTTTCCTCTCCTGGAGGCCAGACTGGCCTGTATGGCCATCTTCTAATTCTGGCTTGCAGTTCCCCCAAGCCATGCTATTTTTGTGGCCCTGCAGAGGTCCATGTGCCCATCAAGTCCTGAGAAGCCCCTGGTTCTCAGAGTGACACTACACATGTCTGTGCCCCCCAGTTTGTACCTTTTCTCCAGTGCTGGTTGCTGGCTCAGTGGCAGGAGCTGAAATGGTGCTTGAACATTTTTTGTGTGACTTCCCTTGTCCCACACTTCATTCCTTCTTTCTTCCTGATATTTTACATCCTTATCACCCCGTTCAGGTGGTTCAGTGATGTGACTGCCTCTGTGGCAGTACAAAAGGTGTCATAAAACAAATGGGCACTTATGGTGCTTGTTCAGGTGAGACAGTGGTGCTGCTTGTGGTGCATTTATTCAGTTGCTGTGACATTGGTGGCTGCTGTCATTTTGAGAGGACTGGGGCACAGCACAACTACTCTTGTCAAAGGAAAGTCCTCATGTAAAGTCTCAAGGTGAGCCCCTCACAGTGCCTGCAGCCATCCCAGCTGGGCTCTGAGTGCTGATGTGCAGATGTGCTGATGGCAGAGGGTGGATGATGCCCTGCTCTTCATCCTTCTTTGCTGGGTTTTGGACCAGATGGGAAACAGGCACTGAACACTTGCTGATGTCAGGGGCTGCTCTCATTTCTTTCTCCTTCCAGCAGTGAGGCTTGGGCCCTCAACCTAACCACAGTCCCTATTTCAGTGCTTTCCCCTTATTCCTGGACAAGTTAGAGAGAAATCCCTGTGCGTTTTGGTGGAACCAGCCTGAGTTGTGAAGCTCACACAGTTTGCCAGGCTCTGGAGGAGGATGAGGGTGTGCAGTCTGTGTGCAATGTCATTAGCCATTGGAGGGCTCCTTGTGGGGAGCTTTTAAACATGCAGCTCAGCAGTCACCTGGGACATGTCTCCAGGCTGCTGTTCTCCTTCCAGGGCCCCCTCAACAAGCTCTGCTCAGTGGCTGTGGGAAATGAATTTGTAGAAAATTCTTAGAACTTGATAGAAAGTTTACATAGTATGTATTTGTATGTAGACTTTGAGATAAGAAATATTAACTTAGTAATACTATAGAATAAAACAGACACTGTTGAGAGAGAAATGGAGCTAGAAACAAGTTTAAAGAGTGGTTTTGTAACTATGACTAGATACTTTAGAGAAATAGAAAGATGTAGTGGGGGGTGATTTTAGTTGATTGGTTTTAAGGTGTTTATAACATAGTGTGATTAAAACTGATAGGTTAAGAAATGCTTATATTATAATTATGAAATAGTTAAATTCTGATTGTGATGGTGTGAATTATAACATCTGTATTGTCTCACCCTTCACATGAGACTAAAAAGAAGAATAAAAGTTTTTAAAACACCTCTCAGTTGCTCCATCTCTGGGTCAAAAAAAGCTTAATCCAACAAATGTCTGGTCCAGCTTCGGCACCCATGGGAAGGATCTATCCCAGACTTCACCCCTGTGGTGCAGCTATCTGGGTCATGGCCACAGCACCACCAGACAGGTCTCTGCTGCAGGAAGGTGGCTCAAGTTAAAGCCTTGGTGTTGGTGACAGGTCCCTTTCCCAGGTCCTGTGGCAGGACTGTCTCCCCCATTCTGAATTCTCTGTAGTTCCCTTTGCAGGTCCTGCTTTGGGAGCTCCCAGGACACCTTAGCAAATCACCTGCATAAATTGACACTCACCAAGTCTGTCTTCTGCCCCAAAACTTCTTTACAAAGTCTCCCTTCAATTCAGTGCACAAAGTCTCTTCTCTGTGGGAGTTGCAGTCTGCCCTGGGATGGTGGGAATCCATGTGTTTTCAGCAGCAACCCTTCCATTCCAGGAGGAAAGAATGACCTGAGATGCACAAACAGCTGCAGAGTGCTTGGTCAGAACCTCTTCTGTGCTCACCAGACCCTCCTGCTGAGATCTGGGCTTGTGCTTTGCTTTTTGCAGGCTCACCACAGGGGATGCCACGGGATCACAGCCACTTCCCAGCCCTGGCCAGGGTGCTCGTGTAGGGAGCCAGGAGGTGGCTGAAGCAGCAGGGACCTGGTGATTTTAAGGTGTTTTTTGGTTGCCTGGCTGGGCACAGCAAGGCACAGCCACCCAGCATTAGCTCCCCCTCCTGCCTGCGTGTTTGGCTCCCTTCCCAAGAAGGCCCTCAGTTGTTTTTCAGGCTCAGAGCCATCTTTTCTGATGGAATCCAGCAGGGACAATGGCCAGTAGCATATCCTTAGGAAAGAGAATAAAAACAGGGCAAGCTCCAGTGATTCTAACCCTGATTTAGCTTCTGGGTGTCCAGCGATCTGCAGCTGGGGGATTTCCCAAGCCAAAGGTTTTACCTTTGGATTTAAGGAGCTGTGTTCCTTGGGTATCCATGGCAGCTCAGGGCTGTGACTGTACAGTTTAATTATGCTGGGTGGAAAAAGAGAGCCTTTTGTTACCAGGCTCTGAGCTAATGGCATCTGATGCTCCTGCATGCATGCACTGGCACAATGGTGGGTCCTTTTATAGCCTCTCCTCCTTCACTAACAAATCCCAACATTCAGTGTTGCCTTTTTACTAAAACTCCTAGGATTCTTGAGCAAACACTTTAGCGTCCTGGCAACTTTACATTTATTGATTTGTTCTGTTTTCTTTTCTCCTGGCATTCCATTATGAAACAGAGCCTCTAACCTGCCTTCTGTAGAATTATCCTCCAGGATGGGAGCCTCCCAAGGCTCTTTGTAGTGAATGTGGGCACAAAGAATTCACATAACTGCTGATCTGACCTGTTCCTTTAGGTGTTATCATGGCTTTCCAATTAAACTTCCAGTGTTTAGGCCTTTGCTCTTTTCCTTGTTTCCAAACAGGAAATGAGTGTTCTCACCTGTGTGAGTGCACATGCACTTTTGGCAGCAGTGTGGCCATGCAGGGAGAGATTTATTTTCACCCTGCTGTGGACCTCTATCTTAAAGTTGTGTGGCAAGTTCCAAGGTGCCTGCTTGGCTACTTGGTGCCAAGGTTTAGGTGGATAAAGCCTGCTTGGGGAGCCTGGTTGGACTGCCCAGGTTAATTTGTAACTGCAGTTTCACTATTTGTTAATTTAGAAAGGGAAGGGAAGTATTGATGAGGGAGAAATTACTTTGCATTGGACTTGTTTAATTGCAGTTAAAAGGGTACATCCATCCACCCAGGACTCATGGCAGCTGAGGGCCTGGAAGTTGGATTGCACTGGTAGCTTTAGGGGTGGTGTAGACAGTCAAGTGATCATTGGTTCCTCTCTAAGCCTCTGATCTGGTGATGAGCAGAGCAGGGCTGAGGTCAAAGACACTCTTGAAGGCAGGGAAGATTGCCCAGCCTGTCACGAGGCAATGACACAGAGCAGTCCTGTCTCTGGAGCACTCATCCTCTCTCTTTGCTTTGTCTTTCAGAGATGTAGATGGCAGCTGCTGCCTTTGAAGGACTCGTCTGACCCTGTGCAGCACCTCCAGTTGCTACCATGATCTTCTGCATGCTGCTGCTGGCCTCCCTGCCTGAGCCCTCTGGCACCGAAGTCAACCCTGGTAGGGAGCTGCCAGGCTGGGAGAGGACTCGTCTCCCACCTTCTGTGTGCTCCTTTCTTTGCCTCTCGTGGGGATTGAGTGTGAAGGCTGCATGTAGAGATAATCACTGTAGTTCCCAAATGTCCTCTGGACTGAGATATTCCTGGACAACTGTGCTGGAGTGGGACACTCTCCTGCCAGTCCCAGGAAGGCCCAGCACATGGACATCCTCCTTTCTCTGCTCACCTGGGCCTGTCCTGGGCTCTGAATATCCCTCCATCACTTTGGCTGTCTGGCCTGCAGAGCAAACCTCGCTCCAGGCTGGCTCAGAGGTTCTGTGCTTGCTGTGGAAAACAAATTTCCAGTTAGCAAAGCATCAGCTTTAGCCACAGCTGTCCAGCCAGCCAGGGGCATTCTGGAGAGAGAAGTGTGGAAGGACAGATGTAAACTTTACCTGGCACAAAGATAGGGTGGAGACAAGGATATGAGCCTGAGTCCCTGTGGAGGGCAGGACCTCTCATCCTACAGCATTTGGCAGGATACAGTCATGATGGAGATGAAGAAGTTAATGTGTTGCAAAAAATCCTGTAATGAGGTGTTTTGAGCTGGAGACAGTCTGTGAAACAAATGAGTTTAATCCTTTTCCAGCTTGGCTGAAGGTGTGGTGAGGCAGCAGTGCTACCCCGAGGGCCTGGGCTGGCTCTGCTGGGGCTGGCTCTGTTTGTTTGGAGCCCTTTGTGGCTGGCTCTGACCCTGCTCTGGCCTGTGGATGTTTGCAGAGGTTTGAGGTTGTGCTGCAAGCAGCCAGAAGTGAAGTGACGGTTGTGGGGGGAGCTCAGCAGCATTCCTGTGCTCCTGTTGCACAGCATTCCCTGCACTGTGCACCCCACCACACACCCAGCGTGGGACTGGGGCTGCCTCTGCTTCTGGTGGCCAAACCTCCCAGAAGAGGAGGGAAGGCTGGAGGGGCAGCCCCATGCAGATTCCTTTTGATGGTGGTTGGTGCAGGAATGGCTCTGCCACACCAGCTCGAAGGAGGTGGGTGGGCTCTGAGCACAGGTCTGTGATTCCTGCAGGAAATAGCCCCTCACACCTCTCAGCTCTGCCTGTGACACCCTCGGGCAGCTTTGCTTCCTCAGCTCCCCCAGCTGCTCCAGTGCCTCTGCCTGGAGCTGGCCCTGCTCTTCCCAGGCAGATTCCAGCACCATAGCCCTGCTGGTGCTCCTGGCTCTGATGCCACAGGCTCCATGGATCATCCTGACCTCCTGGTCTGCTCTAGGAGCAGCCTGAAGCATCTCCTCATTGCCTTATAACTCACAGGGGCTGCTTTGGGGGTGATTTCAGACCTCTGGAACAGGGTCCTGGTGAGTCTCTTGTCTAGCAGGAGATGTTTGACCTTCCTGACAGATGGGCTGGACCACCTCTCTGAGCCCCAGTGTCTCCTGAGTGCCCACTAAAGGGTCAGGAGTCCTGGTGGCACCTAAACAGAACCCAGGATGGTTTTGTTCAAAATAGGTGCATTTAGTGAGAGCCTCGTGCTGCTGGTTTTGGTGAGAGCTGTGGCCACTCTGAGTGCATCTCTCAATGCCAAGGACACTGGGTTCTGCTGCCAGCCCTGGGGTTGTGAAGAAATGGGTTTTGTGCAGTGTTGCAAGAAGAGTCAGTCCCCCAGAGCCCTTCCCAAGTAGCTCTCCATCTGGCATTGCTGGCCAGTGTGTGTCTGACCTTTAAGGTGTGACCACACAGGACTCCCAGTGCAGGAGCACAAAAAGCACTTTCTGCTCTCAGATGGTGACCCCACCTTTTTGGAACATCTCTATGCATTTACCCATAGCTCAGCAACAGATCAGGTTGTACTGGTCTGTGGTGGGACAGGTGAGAGTGAAGACAGTCAGGGCTGGTTTGGCTCCCCAAATAAGCTGATGGTGCAGTGTGAGAGCAGAGCTGGGACTCCTGGCTGGCTTTCAGCAGCCCCATTGTTCTTGATCCCAGGCAGACACCAGTTTCCTCCCAGGGAATTCAAGGCCTCTTGACCAAGCCCAGGCTGATGTGGGTGATACCAGGGGCTCACCCAGCTCAATGGCCTGGCTCCATCCCTCTGGCTCTGGAAAGGTGCATGGATGGGCTGGCACACAGCAAAGCTTTACCCCAGGGTACCCTCAGGTCACTGCAGCTTCCAGAGCCACTGCTTGGGTATTTATTTGCTTGTGGTGGCTGTGAGTTTCTTCAGCTGGTTGCTTGAACTCATGGGAAACTGTGGCATTGGAGTGTTTAATAGGTAAAGGATTTATATTCTATTTTGGAACTCTCCTACCTGACCTTTTGATGCATCCTGGTTCTGGTGTTTTGAGAGACAGCGAGGATATCTATTGTTCAATATAAATTAACTATGTCATACTTCAGTAATCCCTTTTGTAAAGATGAGGCTGCAGATCTTTCTTTCATCATCTGTGTTGCCTTCTGGTGATGGAAGCAAGGAGCAAGAGCTCTATTCCTTTCCTGCCTGGCATCTGACCATGAACACGGGCAGTGCTGTAATGCTAATTCTAGTTTGTTTTATAGGTATTCCCATGATTTTAGAAATATTAACATTAAAGCATTAAAAAGAACAATTTTACTATTTATTTATTAATATTAAAATCTAATATTTATTAACATTTAAATATTGACATTTAAAATATTAAATATTTTTAATATTAATTAACCTAGTATCATTAGCAAATGTCACCTCGCCAGCCATCTCCTTTACCCAATAATTTAGGAATGCTTAGCACATCACACATTCACTGATTCAGTGCCTAACAGCTGCAGACAAACCCTATTGAAGCCCCACCCTCTGTTTGCAAACATTTCTACATCAGATCTGTCAGGCAGTGATTCAGCCTGAGGTGTGCTTTATTCTATGTAGTGATAACAGCAAGGTGGTTTTCATCCCTCTGTCTTGTCTTATAGCTTCTGAACCTGCTGAGTGGATTTCATGGAATGCCAGAATGTCCTGAGTTGGAAGGGACCCACGAGGACCCTTGAAGTGCAGCTTCTGTTGAGCTGTTTCCAGGTTTGGTACGAGGATGGCAGGAGATGGGCTCCAAGGTCTCTTCCAACCCAGCCCATCCTGGGATTTTGGGAAACCAGGAGGACACCCAGGGCAGCCCTGCCTGAGGCAGAGGCAGCCAGAACTGCTCCTGTGCCTGCAGCAGTGTGGCTGGCAGTGGTTGCATTCAGATTTAGAGTTTTCCCAAACATCTCTAATATTCCAGGACATGTTTAAAATCTTCTGTCAGGAGAGAGAACCTCGAGGCCAGCTAGGATTTCTCAGCTGCATCTGCAGGGTACTGGTGTGGGGAGCTTTTGGAGATGCTGGCTTGAGCCAATTGTGTCTGTGCTCCATGGAGGCACCAAGTTTGAGAACATTCCCATGCTGGGGAGAAATGCTGCCTCCACTTGAGGCTGGAGGCAGGAGCAGGCTGGGATGAGGCAGGATGGATGGATGGGAACTCCAGCCTGCAGTGACAGGACAGAACAGATATTTCCATGACTTGTCATCTGTAATAGATGTTTAACTTCTCCCCTGTATCTGCACAGGTGAATGTAATAACTGTTCCCATTTGAGCACAAGTCAAGCATCCAATTTGTTCCAGGGGAAGAAAAATCTTGAACAAAGTCTTCCTTTTTATGTCACATTATTATTGATTAATAATTTGCCGTTGTAAATTTGGCCTGTGCAACCAGTAATAATAATATGGTTTGGGATTTCATGCTCTTAAAATGTTTCTTTGTAAAGTTTTTGCCTTGCCTGGGCTCTGCTGAATGTTACTGTTAGTCTAATGCATTACTTATAATTTCAGTTTATGATAATTATGGTGTATTTAATACCTTTTTGTTTTTTTTTTGCATTCTTTATTTTAGCATTACCATGTTTATTTTCTGGGCATGATAGCATTTATTTAAACTTGCCTGGTGATTTTAAAAGAAAGGAGTGCTGACCTTTGTTGTTTGCTTGCCTGTGTTGCCCCTTGCAGCAATCTGTCGTTACCCTCTGGGCATGCACGAGGGGACCATCCGGGATGAGGACATCACTGCTTCCAGCCAGTGGTACGACTCCACAGGGCCCCAATATGCACGGTGGGTTCACCTCTGAAAACAAATTTAATCCTTTTTTCCCCCTAGAAACCCAATATGTGGCTGAGGAAGAAGATCCCCCACCATTAAAACCTTGTTTGCTGCTTTTGTATTCAGTCTGGGTAGTGCACAGTGAAAGGCCAGGAGGCCATGGCAATGATCACAGCTGTGGTACAGGAAATTCTCATTAAATATTAAGGGGAAAAACTCATTCTCCATGAGAATGAAGTGGTGGGAGGGGGACCCAGAGAGGTGGTGATGTCTCAGCATTTGGGGACTTGGCTGTACAGGCCTTGAGGAACACAGGGCAGCCTTGGAGCTGGCCCTGCTGTGAGCAGGGGATGGGACTGCAGACCCCAAGGTTGCCTCTGACACCCAGCTTTCTGTCACTCGGTGAATAAATCTCCAAAGGATTTGGGACTTACAGGCAAGCCAGCGACAGTGCCCCTGGGATTCTTGTGGAGTGCTTTAAACTAAAACACAGGAAATCCTTTACAAGGATGAACTTTTCAACAGCATCCTATTGAGGAAATGGGCTGTGCTCACTCTGCCTCAAACACCTTGGAAATGCAGAGTTAAGGAATTGTCAAGCAAGCAGCTAAATTATTTTCTTAACTGTCAAGGAGGCCTACAGCTTTTCTTTACTTTTTTTTTTTGGTCATTTTATTTCTCGCAAAGTTATTAACTGATGATTCACAAAAGAGTTGCAAATGTGAATTTCCTTGGAATGGTTTGCAGTGGTGATATCAACCATTGCTACAGCTTTGTTGCAAGTCAGACAGAAATTTCAGGTTGACTGTGATACTTATATTTTTATGATGAATTCAGGCACTCCAAAATCATAAAATTCTCCTGGTGCTCAAATATTATTTTTTCTTAGTGTGTGGTAGAGCAGTGATGCTGTGTGCTGTGTTTTTAATAGTGTTTGAGCAGGCCTGTGGATCTGACAGCTGGGAGGTTTTTCCTATGAGTATGGCTTATTTCCAGTGCTGCAAACACTTTGGGCACCATTTTACCATCCTCTCTTTGCTGGATGTTCAGAGGGTGAAGGCATGAAGCTGACCTCATTTGGTTAGAGGTCAGAGTTGTCCCATGCAGATGTCTGTTCCTGTCACTTCAGTCACCCTTCCTGCCTTTTTTAGAGGTTTTTTTTTTACTTGCGATTCCAGTGTAAGAAAATCTTGCACAAACAGCTGATCAGCCAGAGATTAAAATCTTCTCTGGCCTGAGCCATGACCTGCAGTGACTCCTCCTGGGTACCACCTTCCCTGATGCCCTCACTGATCCCATCAGGTGGAGATGGGGTAGCTGTCTGAAAGCCAAGGGAACTTCAAGGGCTAAGAAATCCCTGTTTGTAAAAAAACCCACACATTTTTGGTGTGCAGATAAATTTGTCACAACTACAGCTCTCACAATGTTCAATTGAGGAGCAGAGACCTCCCCCCAACTCTCCTAGCAGCATCCTACACCAGCAGCTCTGATGACTGCAGGAAATGTGAACTGTGCATTGAAATGACCCAGAAGAATTTCAAACAGATCTTATGTTGCTAAAATGTATTTTTAAGATGGCTCAACTTTGAGCTTTGTAAAGCTGAAGGAGGTGATCAAGCAGAAGTTCAGGCCTTACCATGTGGGGTTTAGGAGCAGTGAGGATGCACCTAGGCAGCAAGGTGTTGCAGAGCAGAGAGCAGTTCCCTGCTGAGCAGCAGGGTTGTTTCTGATCAATGGGGAAATTCATGTCTGGGGAAAAAATTACTACAAGTAGTTAGTGAAAGGTATGTGGGACTGAGGAGCTGTTCTGTATAGGGCAAACCTGTAGGATTTGAGTCTCAGCTGACCATCATCCCAAAGGGCAGAGACACTTGGTAGCCATTGCTGGTTTTGTTGCTTCCTCCCAGTCCTCACAGTTCTGCGTGTTCCCTCAATTAATCATCGGAGATCTGATTCCTTTTAATGCGTGCAATTTCCCCCTCAGGTTACAGAGGGAAGAGGGGGATGGAGCCTGGTGCCCAGCTGGTTTGCTGGAGCCCGAAGATGTGCAGTTCCTGCAGATTGACCTGCACAAGCTGTTCTTCATCACCCTGGTGGGCACCCAGGGCCGGCACGCCCGCGCCACGGGCAAGGAGTTCGCCCGCGCGTACCGCATCGACTACAGCCGCAACGGGGAGCGCTGGATCTCCTGGAGGAGCCGCCAGGGAGGCAGGGTGAGCCTGGGGCTGCAGGGCACGTCCTCCTCATCCTGCTTAAGTGTCTTGGTGGGGAAAGCCAGGTGTCTGCTAAGGAAGGCACGAGCCTCCCTTGAAATGGAAAATGGAACCCCCCTCCCTCTGAATTATTGTAATTTTGAAAGTAAGAGGCTCTTGGGCAAAGATGTGGGAATAGGAATAACAGTGCTTTCCTGGAACCCCTGGCCTGGTTCAGGGGCTCTGTGTGCTGGAAAAGTCTCTCCTCCAGCCCGAGCTTCCAAAGAAAGGCTCAGCAGTCTCTGTTGTTGGTCTCAAGGCAGTTTATTGCAAGTTATCTAAAAGATTTTCTTCTGGGGCTGCTGTGGTTTGCTCNCTCAGGCAGAGGCACACACACACCCTGACATCCTCTCTGACCCCGACTGCTTCTTCTCTCCCCGCCCAGGGCTGCTGCTGTCTTTTATATGGTACGTTACGTGTTACATGGTTACAGTTTTTCCCAATGCCTATTACCTATATTAAATGGGGATTTTCTATCTTTTATATGGTACATTATGTGTGACATGGTTACAGTTTTTCCCCAATGCCTATTACCTATATTAAATGGTGCTTTTCTATCTTTTATATGGTACATTATGTCTTCCATGGTTACAGTTTTCCCCAATGCCTATTACCTATATTAAATGGTGCTTTTCTATCTTTTATATGGTACATTATGTGTTACATGTTCACAGTTTTTCCCAATGCCTATTACCTATATTAAATGGTGCTTTTCTACTCTAAACCAATCTGTGAGTGCCAACATCACCAAGAACATGGAGGTAAGGAAGAAGAAGGAGGAAGAACAGGATCAGCCCACATTCCTCCATCTTAAAACATCTGACCCCCATGTACAAAGTAAAACCCCCCTGTACAGGTGCTAAAACCTCCTTGTACAATACTAAAAAATTTTTCCCTCTACTTGGTAACTACCTCTACTACAATATCTAATCCTTTGTGACTGCTTGTTCCACCTTCAAAGTTGGTAATTCATTCCATGGCTCAAACCCAAAATCACAGCTGTTTCCAGCTGTCTGCCAGGGTCTCAAATGCTTCTGACCAAGGCCTGGAACCTCTAAAAATGTCTGAGGGACATTCTGAGTTCCAACAGTGCTTTACTAGGGAAATTAAATATACAAATGCAAGAGTACAAAAAAGGGAAAACAAACCCCTGCCAGAGTCAGAGCAGCCCTGTCCCCTGTGGGTCAGGGAGGTGGCTCAGCCCCATCCCAGGGGGGCTCAGCCCTCCTGCAGTGCCAGCTGTGCTTCTGCTGGAGCAGGATCCTGCACAAGGGGGGAGTTTTCCTCTGGAGCTCCAGGGCTGGGGGAGATGGGCCTGGGCTCCTCTGGGAATGCAGGGGGAAGGAAGCTGCTCCTCTGGGAATGCAGGGGGAAGGAAGCTGCTCCTCTGGGAATGCAGCGGGGAGAAAGCTGCTCCTCTGGGAATGCAGGGGGGAGAAAGCTGCTCCTCTGGGAATGCAGGGGGAAGAAAGCTGTTCCCATGGGAATGCAGGGCCCAAAGGCTGCTGTGCTGTTCCCAGGTCAGATTGGATCCAGGTAGGAATGTTTGGCTCCTTCCCTGGGCAGAGCCTCTCCCCATGAGATGCTGGAATTTTCTCAGCCATGCAGGGACACTCAGTGGCCAGGAACAGAAGATAATTAATAATTAATGGCCCATGAACAGCAGAGATCTCCTGGAGGGAGGATTGGCTGTGGGAGAGATACAGAAAAGTGCCCAATGAACAGAGGAGAACTGCCCCAGCTCTGACAGATGGGAATTGAATACACACCCAGCTGCACCTTGCAGCCTGAGACATTAATGCATCCTACTCCGTCCTGGCTCTGTTGGAGCAGTGTGTTCTGCCTCAGTTCTGTGACACCTGGTCTCATCCAGCAGCACTGCATCGTTCCTGACATGGGGAGCACTGGGCTCAGCAGGGGCCAGGACTGGAAACTGCTGCTGGCTTTGTCTCTCACACAGTTTGGGTTTTCTGGCCCTGAGTGAGGGCATGCTCAGGAACAGCAGCTGCAGGATGTGGAGATGCAACACAAGGTGCATCACCTTCTTTGTTGCTCTCAGAATTTGGGCAGGATTCTCTACAATTCTACTGTGGAGCTGGTACAAAGATGCTTTTTTCTGAGGGGATGTTTGAAGTTTTCTTCCTTTGTCCATGTCCCCTGACCTGACTCCCCCAAATCAGGAAAACTCTGGCTCTTCACTACCTGTCTGTGCATGTCCCAAACATCACATGGGTGTCCTTCTCTTAGACACTTGTATCTAAATTGGATGTCTGGATGCCTGCTTTGGGATTTAAAACTGGAGGGGGTGGCAGGGAATTAAGGAGTTTCTGGGTGTCTGATAGCAGTGTTTGGTGTGTGGATGTTGAGGAGGAAGGAGTTTAGAGAGTAGGAAATGTGCTGAGCTCTCACACAGAGGCTTCCCTGCTCACCACAATTGTCTCATGCTGTCTCCAGACCTGAGCACAGAGCTGGGCTCTGTTCATACTTTGTTAAACTTCACCTGGGACTCTCACCTGCAGCTGTCTGACCTGGTCACCCTGCCTTCAGGCTTGTGGAGTCTGAAGACCTAAGTCAGACTAGAGAGGTGCTGGGTATGGTGATGTTTCCTTGCACTGAGGGTGCTTTGGAAGTCCCAGCAGGGTCTGCAATGCAATATTTGGTAGCAGCTTTTTATCTTGTTAATGAATTATTTGCTCACCCAGACCTTTGATCAGCTGTTTGCCATTACCATTATATTGCCCATCCCTCACATTTTGATGTCTGCTACAAAAGCTGTGTTTGTGGGATGGGAGGGGAGGTCAAAATAAACAGTGGAGAGTTCCCAGGACACTGTTGACACTGAGGGGAAGGGTGAGGTCCCTGCCTGTCACTGCACTGCAGCAGGATGGGGTGGCTGGGGTGATGCTCAGTCCAGGATGCCTCCTGTGCAGCACCAAACACTGCAGCACCTCTGGAATTGTGTTGGCTTGTGGAGAAAGGACATCAGGGCCCTCCACCAGGTAACTGGTGATGAGGGCAAGCTCTGTTACCTGTTGCTGGAACCCATGGATCCCTTGAAGGAAGGGGTTTCATCCAGTAACTGGAACTCTCTGCAGCTTTCACTCACACCTGCAGCCCCACCTGCCTCTCTCTTCTCCCTCAGTGCTGCCTGGGGGGGTCTGCAGTGAGCAGGAGGTGAAATGGCAGCACCCCTCCCACCCCATCAGCCACAGGACGAGCAGCAGCAGCTCCCTCCTGCAGATTCCACCTGGGGAACTCTCCACTCCCAAACAAAGGGGCACAGGAGCACCACTGTACAGCCCAACAGCACAACAGGGAGTGTGGGAAATGGAAAGATAGAAACTTCCACAGACACTGAAGGGTTCAGTCTACAGCCTTGGATGAAGCTTGGATTTATGTAAAAATAAAGTACACAGACATTAAGTAGAAAAATCATAAACTTACGTTTTTATAGTTATGACTACATAGTTATAGTAAGTAAGAATATGCCTTAAGTAAGAAAGAAACTATTGATAAGATGGTGAAGGGTTTATAATGTAGGAAGCTGTATTGATAAGATAGTGAAGGGTTTATAATGTAGAGGTGTAATTGTATAGAGTAAGCTAAGAGTTTAGAAGTGATAATAGAAGCATATGTGTGATAGTAGCCCATTGAATAAAAGTACCTGCAGTGCAGTAGAAGTAAGTAAAGGTGATAGGTTAGAAAAGCAAAATAAATTTTGTGGCAACTGTCCATTGGAGTAGAAAGTTACCTATTATCTTATAGTGAAGAACATGTGACTACTTTGAGCTATGGCCACCTGCTTGCTCTCAGAGATCTCACAGCCTCCGAGACTGAAGTTTATCTGAGCACTGAATCGTTCTCAGCCTGACTGTGGTGCCATCCCTTCCATCAGGAGAAGGGAGAGGCTGCAGCTGAGGCTGTTTCTCCTGCAGGTGATCGATGGCAACACGGACACCTACGACGTGGTGCTGAAGGACCTGCGGCCGCCCATCATCGCGCGCTTCGTGCGCCTCATCCCCGTCACCAAGGCGCCCATGACCGTGTGCATGAGGGTGGAGCTCTACGGCTGCGTCTGGCACGGTCAGCGCCCCTCCCCAGCCTGGCACGGAGGGCAGCCCTGCCCGGGGCTCCCTGCAGCTGCTGCCAGCCCTCAAACGAATAAAAATGTCGCATGGACACAGGTGATGGGAGCCCGCTGATGTATTTCTGAGGTGTATGGCTTTCTTTTCCAGATGGTTTGGCATCCTACAGCATCCCTGAAGGAGGGACAATAGCAGCTCCCGGGTTCCCCATAGTTTATCTGAATGACTCGACCTATGATGGCTATCAGGAACGCAGGTGGGAGAAGTTGTCCTGTTCTCTCTCTGTCACCGTGCAAATTCTTTCCTACTCTCTCTGTCACTGGTATCTCGTATCCCAGATGCTTCTTCATGCTTGTAGGATGTTGGAAAATGCTGGGTAACAATGTCTTGATAAATTCATATCTGATGGTTTCAAGCTGGGCTGATACAGTAGAGCTTGGATATTTAAATAAAAGGTTTTTATGTTCAGAGTAGGTGTTGCATGTAGCTGTCCAGCATGAACTTAGGAACCTGGGTCTGATGGGGAGTGTCAGGGAGCTGCAGATGTAGGCAGAAAACCCAACCTGCTAAGCCAGGACTCTTTGGAACGACTTAACCTCTAGTTCATGTGCCTGACTGGTAGAAATCTGCCTCTTCCAGCTGTTAATCCTAATTTGCAGTTCAAAGGCACGTGTACCTGTGCTCTAGTGACAGGAGGGCTCACCTGGGGTGAACTTACAGAGCCAAGGACTTACAGGGGGGGTCAGAATTGTGCCACACTGGCATCTTCTACTCTGGAACAGTGCTTGGGAAACTGTATGAGGGGCTCTGCACCCTCACATAGGAGCGGGGTGGGGCAGGGTCCTGGCAAAGAGTCCAGTCAGCCTTGGAAAGAGCCAGTAACTCTTCTCAGGAGCGATGGCAGAAATGATCCTGGCTAGGCTTGGCTGTGGCTCATGGTCTCACTTCCCACTTTGCTGCCTTTCTGTGCCTGCCTGCAGGTTTTTGCCCACAGGTTCCCCCAGCAGAGGATGGAGCAGTGTTCCTGCCATGCAGCTGCATGGTGAGATGCTGCAGTTTCAGCTCTGTTGGGAGAACACACAGTGTAATTTTCCACACTGTCTGTCTTTGTTCTCCAGAGGCTCTGCCTGTAGCTCAGCTTTGCTGTTGGTCCTTGACACCAGTCCAAATATTTCTGCCTTTTCTCTAGCTGGGAATGATGCTAAAATCCCAGCCCAAACAACATCAAGGTGGTGCTGCATAAGAACAGTGATCGAGTTCTTGTCCAGGATGAGTCAGGAGCAGGAAAATGGAAGTTTTGCTGGTACCAGTTGGAAGATGCCTGTGGTTTCCCACTGGAGCTCTGGCTGACTGTTGGTTTCTCCCTGGCCAGGCACCTGTATGGAGGGCTGGGCCAGCTCACAGATGGAGTGCTGGGGCTGGATGACTTCACCCAGAGCCACCAGTACCGCGTGTGGCCAGGCTACGACTACGTGGGCTGGAGGAACGAGAGCTTCAGCACGGGCGCGGTGGAAATGGAGTTCCAGTTTGACCGCCCACGGAACTTCACCTCCATGAAGGTAACTCAGCCTGGTCCCTCTCCAGGGGGACAGGCTTTGGGTCTGGGGGCTTCCAGGTTGCCCCTTTGGAGAATTGAGTGGGTTGGAAGGGACCTTGAAGCTCATCTCGTTCCACCCTCTTCCACAGGCAGGGACACCTTGCACTAGACCAGGTTGCTCCAAGCCTCATCCAGCTTGGCCTTGAGCACAGGAAGTGCCTGTATCCTCCTGAATCCAGAATTTGAGCAGGAGATATCCCAAATTTTCCATTGTAGACAGGTGAAGCAGATGAGCACTTGCTTCTTCAGAGCTCAGACTCTCCTTCCCATATTTACCTTGAAGGAATAAAAAGCAGACACCTGAACCAGTCTTTAGGCAACTGAGATGGATTTAGGATGCAGGATTTACTAACTCTTAAGGTAAAGGAATGTGGCTGTGCTTCCATTTTGACCAAGCAGCCTCAGCCTGTGCCTGTGCTGTGGGAAATTATTTAAACACACAGGAGAAGCACGAGTTGAACTTTGATTCTGTAGTAAACAGCAGGATCTTTTAAAAAGGATTGGTGGCTTTTCTTGTAGAGATTTCAAATGAAGGAGAACCCACCACATCCTTAAGTAAATTGTTTTGGTGGTTACTTACTCTGGTTTTATTTTGTCTATTTTTAACTTGCAACCATTGGCTGTTTGCCTGCTTTTGCTGGCAAAAAAAAAAAAAAAAAAAAAGAGTCCTGCCTTCTCAGAAATCTTCTGCTTCTAAACCATGATTTAACCACTCTCTTAATCTTTGCTTCAGTAAACTAAGTTGGCAGACTTCCCAATGCCTTCCTGGTGAGACCAAGGGTCATTTTTGGAGCAGTCACCCAATCCTTTCTTTCTTTGATGATTACTCTTTTGGAGGTACAGAATCCCATCAAATTGCATAAAAGAATGGTACCAATTTCCTGCTTTTGGACGATTCCTCTTTGTGAATCTTGTGATGATATTGATCCTCCAAGCCAAGAGAGAGGGAGCCAGTGGTCATTAAGGCTTAGGGATCATGCTAAAAATCAGTTCCAAGTTATTAGTGTCCAGGATAAAAGTCCAATGTGGAAAGCATCACTTAGATTTTGTCCCTGAGTTCACTACCCTGACTTGAGTCAGTCCTTGAGATTATTTTAGGAAACTCCCTCCCTTCTATTTAGTTTATTTTATTGCTAGTATTTCTGTGTCTCCCTCAGGTCATTGAAAAAAGCAGCAAATAATTTTGATTTAGGAATGCATTCCTCTTAGAAGAACAGAGACAAATTTGTGCCTTAAAATTTTTAAGACTTCGTAGTTGATAATGTTTTATCAAATTAATATAATACATGAGCATACACTATGCTAATTGGGGACAGATGCCTTCCAAAAATCTGTCTTGTAAACACAACCATCCTGATAAACCAAACACATCAGATCATAAGAACAGCTACTTTATCTAGCATCTAATTAAAAAGCTGTTCCGATTAGCATGAATTAATCTTCATTATTTACTGAATGTTGCCTCTTTCAGCTTTGCATTTCTTTTGTACAGGCCAAGTGGTCTGTGGATAATTTTTGCATCTTCTTATCTGATAGCTTTATCCCAGTCCTGTGAGCTTTCCCAGTATCCAAGAAACTATTAAAAATAAATAATGTTGGTAACATTGCAACTGCATTGCATAGGCTTGCATGCTGTAAAATTGGACTTTAGTAGGGGATGTTTGCAATAGAAAATGTCTCTGTATCAGTCCAGGATGGAAACACATCCAACTCCTGTCCAAATATGGCACAAATTGTATATTCCAGGCAGCAGGCTTTCCTGCCTGGTTATGAATGACTGTTTCTCCTTATTGAATAATGTTGTCTAAGCTTCATCTGGTCCTAATTATTTGAAAATACTCTGCTTTTGTCTTTTTGCTGCTCATCAGGCCTGTTGTCCTCATTAGTGCTTCAGTGCTTTTCACTGCAGGACCTCTCAGAGGCTGAGCAATTAATAAGGTTCAAGGCTGTAGGTGGTTTGGAAACTGTTGCTGTCACAAGTGGCAAATACCCCACAGTCACTAGGAAATGATTCTTGGGGCTGCTGGGAGGGGTTGGACCACTGTGGCTGTGGGAATGGAGCAGGCTGAGGGGTACTGAAGACTTTGAGTCACCTCATTTCTTCTAGTTTCTGTTCAGTGGTCACAGTGCTGAGATGTCCCGAGTGATGTGATCCTGAGCTTCAGGTCTGCATAACAGAACTCAACCTGATGCTGAGCCACCAGGAGAAGGGGATGGATGCAGGCTTTAGGTGATGGTTTCCCTAAAACTCAGATCCTCAGTTGTCTGCAACCAGAGCAGGGGTGTGTCAGGGGAATATCTGCCTGGTTTGTGGTTTTTGGAAGGAATTAACTTAGGTTGCAGCTGCTAAAAGTTTCTAAATGCTAAGAAATTCGGGACACAATTCTCATCTAATGACAGAGATCAGTTGTTGGTATGTCATAGCCCGAGCTGGTCCCCCAAAAGAGGGACCAAGGACAAAGAAATCCCTGGGACCCTGATGCCAGGAGGGACAGAAGAAGAGTCCAAGAGCAGTATTTGGGTCTGAATTCTCCAAGCTTTTCATTGTTTCACTGTTCCATCACCAACATGGCTGCTGTGTCATTGTTTCCACACTGGCCTCTGAGACTGGTTTCTGTGGGGGTTTTGGTGGGTTCAGCAGTTAATTTTTTTAACATGGTTGTTACAGTTCACAGACCAGGATCTATGGGCTGTCCACTCCAGCTCTTGATCTTTGAGTAATATTTAAGCTGCAGCTTTGTCTATTCTAACTATTATTAATGATCAGATTGTTACATGCAAGTTGCACTACAATCCGTCTTTACTATTATTAATGATCAGATTATTAGCTCCAGGGTTCATTCTAATCCATCTTTGACTTGCAGAACAGAGCCATGTAGTTCAGATAAAGTTCAGCTTGTGGTCTAACAATTCCAGCTACTTATGTCAAGCAATTGAAACAATACCAAATTTTTAACACTAGGAGTTAAGGTGTGTCTTTTCCTTCCCTTCTTAGGTTAAATGTTCAAAGAGAATTGGTCTGCAAGGCTTTAGATTGGTATGAATAATCAATTTAGGGTAACTCTTGATTAATCAATTAAGGGTTTGCTTGATTGATTTTTATATGGGCCTTTTGAAGAGCCTGCCAGAATCTGACCATTGATGTAGCATTTGCAGGTAAAATTCAGAGCTGTTCCAGAACAACTTTTTGCCCAATGTTCTCATTGCACACTGGAAGAAGTCACTCATTCTGCATTCATACAGGGAGATAATGGGAATGGAAAATTTTTGTGAGTGGAACATCCTTGGGGCTTGATTTAGGTGCCAGTAAATCTCCTCTCTGACGGCTCCCTTCTTCTCTTCCCAGGTGCACTGTAACAACATGTTTTCCAAGGGGGTGAAGATTTTCCAGAGGGTGGAGTGTCTGTTCAAGCCTCGGCTGATCGCAGACTGGGAGCCCGAGCCTGTGGGGGTGGCCACAGTGCTGGATGACAAAAACCCCAGTGCCAGGTTCGTGACCGTGCCCCTGCAGCAGCGCGTGGGCAAGGCCATCCTGTGCCGCTTCTACTTCGCTGACACCTGGATGATGATGAGCGAGATCTCCTTCCAGTCAGGTGAGTGCTCCTGGAGAAG